CTTCGGCCTCACACATTTGCTGCAGAATTCGAGCCTGAGGATCAAGCATGAGGTGTAGGTTGTCGACTTGTGCCTCAATCGAATCGAGACGTACAATGAGGCTCTCTATTTGTGTGCTCAGCCGAGCACATCCGAGCTCAATCTCCTTTTCTTGGTTTGCTCGGGTCATCATCCAATCGAGAATGAGGTCGAGCTTGGTATTGTACTCTGAGGAGTCGTCCTGGAGGTCATTTAGGTGCTCAGGCATGGGATGTGGGTCCACAACCTCGAGCTTGTGGGCCTGGGACTCGATCGAGTCGATGCGCCTTGCTAGGCTTTCCACTTGCGCGCTCAATCGGGCACATCTGAGCTCGATCTCCTCCTCTTGTTTCGCTCGGGCCATCAATCGATCTAAGATGAGATTGAGTTTGGCATTGTATGCGGCCTCCTCTTAACGAGCTGATTTGAAGTCTATGAAGTCCATAATCTGGCTGAGCTTATCATTAAATGCATAGGACTTAGAAAGTTGCTCAATCGGAAGATTGTTCCAGCACTGCTCGGAAGCATACGGGTAAGGTTGGGTGTGGTACCCGGGGAAATAGACCGGCTCGTCGTTCCAAGATGGGTAATGCAGGGAGAAGTACCCGTGATTGAAATTCATTGTACCTGCACACCAGAACCAAACAACCACGCGTAGCCAAGAAAAAAGAAGAGAAAAGAAGACAAAAACTAAAACAAGAACAAAAGAGAAAAACACATATGCACAAAAGAAACTAAAACACTAAGAATACTAAAATAAAGAGAAACACAGAAAATAAGATCAAACACCAAAACTAAATATCCTACTTGCCTTCCCCGGCAACGGCGCCAAATTTGTTGTAGCAAATTATTTTATTTTTTTACCGAGTACCGAATCAAAAGATTCGTTCCCCGGGTCGATCTCTCAAGGAAGACGGTTCGGAATTTAGCGTTGGTCTTGATCACACACGAAAAGAAAATAAGTCCTAAACACTCTAATCATGATTAGGGTTTGAGCGGTCAACTAGAAAATAACAGAAAATGCATAAAACATAAATTAACTCAAAAAACATGAAACAAACAATGATAAAGAAGCTAGGGAGTCGGGGATATTTGTTTCGGTTCGAAATGCAATTAACGAACAAGTGATCATTAGGTTAAAGGATTCGAATAACCTACTCGTTCAGAGATTCATCCTCAATAACTTTTCGTAACAAGAGGATAAATGTGAACGGCAAATTCACGAGTCGTTTAACACATAGGCAATACAGTTACGAACAAGCCTATTTTATATGAGCCTAGATCGATCAACTCCTCCCCTTTCAGTTCTAAGAGTCGATTAAATTGGATTAGAAGGTGGGTAATCGACTAATCTTTAAGAATTAACAACATCAAACCCGAATGAATTATGTCCAATTGAAAATCAATTGCAAGTTGAGGTGTCACTCATCAACAACATTCAACAATCAAGTATGATAACCGAAAACCCTTTTAAAAACAACTCGAATAATTTGAAGGATCAACAAGCACGATAATCACAATCTAATTCAAAACATCATCCCCTATCCCTTGCGAATCGAATTAATTATTCATATTCAATTCAACACAATCAAGCTCAACAATCACAACAATCATATTCATGGATTAAATGAATAGAAAAATTATGATTAAAAGGGTATTGAATGTTGAATTCGAGATACTAGATTAATCCAAAGGCAATAAATAAATCAAGATGAACACCAAGATCAATTGTGTTTTCTCAGATGAAAATCAGGAGAAAAACGAGTTTAAGGTGTTATTTTAGGTCTGGGAACGAGTCCCAGTGCAAAGTACTCAAACAAATGAACAAAATCTAGCTTTTAAAATTCTGGTCGCGACCTCCGCGGCCGCGGGAAGCTCCGAGACCGCGAGATTTCAGCTGCAGAAGGGCTGTTGCGCGCGGCTTAATGTTTCGGGCTCGTTTAGGCTCGTCCGAACTCGGAATTGAGTTTCGTTTTTTTCTACGCGTCGCTAACGAATCCCTCTATCCAATTATGCTCTCGAAACCAATTTTTCCTGAAGATAAAGTTCTCCCGAAGCTCCCAACCTACACACCAAAAACGACAAAACACAAAAACAACCGGAAAAACAAACGAAAAACACTTAAAGACTCAAAATGAAGGAAAACACATAATAAAACCCGAAACAGACTAAAAACAAAAGAAACGACCTAAAATGGGGGGAAAGAAAAAGCGAAATGAGCACAAAAAATGCAACAAAAATGGGACAAACAGCTGTAAGCCTTTTTTCGATGCCATCAAGAAATGAAAGCACTTTGAATGGACTGAAGAATGTCAAAAAGCGCTCCAAAGTATCAAGGAAGTACTTGCTCAGCCTCCAACTCTGCAGAAACCAATCCCCGAAGAGATGTTGTATTTGTACTTGGGAGTAAGTAATTCGGCAGTCAGTGCAGTCCTTGTCCGAGAGGAAGGAACGCAACAATTCCCAGTATATTATGTCAGTAAAGCCTTGCATGAAGCTGAACTACNCCTAATTGTAGTAGATTTTTTTTTAAGAATTTTATTTTTGTCAAATTACTATCAATATGATTTTTAATATCTTTAAATTATACTTTTTAGGATACTTACATATTCAATTTTTAGTTGGTGAGATTACAAAAAAAATTTCAATTGTCCAATTGTTGATTAGGTATAAAAATCATGCAGATGAGTTTTACACCTAGGGTACTGTTTTAGAATTTTATTAATGTTAACTTTCTATCAATTAGAGTTTTAAAAAGACTTAAATTGTATTACCTTATGGAATCAGATTATAGCAATTATATTGAAATTTTTTTTACCGAAATCTAACATTTTATATGCAAATAAAATTTTCTTTCCTAATTGTAGAGTACTTAAATTGTTCTACCTTATGAATTTGAATGAAAATTAGGTTTAAAATTGTTTTTATTGTGATTGTGAACCGAAAATGAAAAAAAAAAAGAGTTTCATATGTGTAATTGTATTTTATTGTTAGAAAAATTGTATTGTTTATAATTCGTAATCTTTTGTTGAAATTAACTAAATTCGTATTTTTTTCATTGAAAAATTAACAAAAATTATGTTTTTTTAATGGCAAGACAATCGACTCTTACAAAAATAAATAGAATAAATATATTCGATAGACACAAAATAAGGCCAGTATTTGTTTCCAATCTGACCCAATGTTTACATTTTAATTTTTTGGAAACAAAATTGATATGAAATAGGTGAATTTTTTTAAATTTTGGCCAAAAAGATTACTCAATTTAGTAAATATTTTAGGCGGGAAATCAAATATTTTTTTGCTGATTTTTAGTTACTACTTTAGGTAAATATCATTACCTCTTTATATATTAATAGATAGATGCGATGATCGTATATGTGGAAAATAAATTAATCAATATCCGGTATAAAGTGGACAAATTTATTTAGGTTATTTGATGGCTTATTTATTTATTTTTGGTAGGATGTTTGCTAAAAGATTAATCAATATACGATATACTTTTTCAATTGAAATGGCGTAGGCCAGTATATTGGCTTTTTGGCGTGGGTCTCAATTTTTATTTTAGTTTTGTATGAAATTACTATAATGAAATTACCGTAATGCCGACACAATAATGTGAACAAATATTTTGATATAATGTATGTGTCTCGATGTTTTTTGTTTAGAAAATGTTCAGGTTAATTTTTTATTTGTAGAATGAGTGGGTCGCGATTTAATTCATTTTTTTACTACATTTGAAATTATTTTTGGTGTGAAATGCACTGTTCAATTTTTTTAGCATGATAAAAAGTGTAACGATTTTTTGGGTATATAAAATATGAACAATAATATGACTGATTATTTTAGAATGAATGCGTGTCTTCATTTTTTTCCATAATCTTTGGATCGATATTTTTGGTATGAGAAATCTGAATAATACTATGATCGATATTTTTTTTTATAAACGAATAAAATTGAAGTCAAAATTCCAATGAGATCTTATAAAAAATGACATTGTATATCGTATTAATTATTTTTTAACAAAAAAACTTTCACAATCTCATTTCACAGTGGCCAAATTGATGAAACTACTAAAAAATATGCGAGATCTAAAAAAAAATCGATATTATCAATTTGATTTAATACACTTGATATAATTAAATTATTAATTGATTAACAAATAACCAAAAATAACTGCCAAAAAATCTCAAAATCAAATATTACATGGCCAAATTGCAGATTACCTATTAATTAATTTGCAATATAAATAAACAAATACAGAAAAATATAATAACATCGGGTTAACCAAAAAAACGTGTCCATAGGTCTAGCCATAACTTGATATAATGACACAAGTTCAATTTGTATTTACTGTAGGACATATGTCAATACATCGTTTGTAAAAACTTTGAACTAGTATGATACCCGTGTATTACACGGGTGTTGAATTAGAAAGCTTTTGTAAAAAAGATTAAATTTATTAGTTTTTTTAAAACTAAAATAATTTAATTTTATATAAAATATTATTTGAGTTTTAATTAAATTTTCAAATTATATTTTTTTAATCACAATAATTAAACGCTCATACATTAAATGAAAATGTCAACCCGTGTTGAATTTGTTTTACTTATATCATATATTATTATATATTTTAGTATGACATATATGTGTTATATTATAATAAATTTTCTACCTTATAACATATAATTACATCAATATTAATTGATAAATAATTTTATTTTTTAATTAATTTTAATAAATAATTTTATTATTATTATAAAGATAAATATAATTTATTTATTTTATATATACAATATAGATGTTAAATCGAAGTTTATCAAAAGATGATTAATTTAATATATTATATATATAAAGCATGATTTTTTGTCAAATATAATTCTGAAGTATGAGAGTTCAACGCATTCTAAAATTACATATAGAGGAGATAACTCTATAAATCTAGCCATATGATCACTTCACATCAAAATCGTACGTGGTAAGTGAAAGTGTGAACACGAGACAGAAATTGAACGATGGTATTATGATTTTCCCATCATGAGAAACCAATCGCTGGTGGAGTAATTATAAACATGGCCACTCTTGTAACGGAGCAGGAGCATTTCCCGAGGAGGAAAAATCTCGAGCAATCCCTGTGTTTGGTTTGCTCGATCACTTAATCGAAAACCTTCTTTGTTTCTTCTCCTAGCTCTTCAGTTATTCCCGTCCAAAACCCTAGATTCCCAATCAACCCTAATCCGTAACGTTCCTGTAAAATATTATAAATCCAAACTCGTGCACCACCTTATTTACATTTCCCCTTCCCTGATTTGATGTTTTATCTCTTCCGTTATAATCTTGCTCGTCTGTTCCGCAACAAACCGTTTATTGTCAATAACTCCAGTTTTTTACTGTATCACTGAGGTTTCAGGGTTCAGTTCAGTAAAATAAGCGACCATGAGCCCCATTCAGAATTTCGAGCAACACTCTCGGCACTTGATCGAACCAGATATCTGTATGGAAATCTTCTTCACTTTTGCTTTTATTTAGTTGCTTATTTAGTTTTTTGTTTACTGATTTTTCTTTTTTCTCACGTTGTCTGTTTATGCCAGCAATTCAAACTAGACTGCAAATGGCTATGGAGGTACGGGACAGTTTGGAGATATGCCACACGGGAGAGTATTTGAACTTCTTGAAGTGTTATTTTCGTGCATTTTCAGCTATTTTACATCACATTACCAAGCCCCAGTTTGCTGATAATCCCGAGCACAAGCTGCGCAATATTATAATTGAAATTCTTAACCGCCTACCACACAGTGAAGTTCTTAGGCCCTTCGTCCAGGAGCTTCTCAAAGTAGCGATGCACGTACTCACTACAGACAATGAGGAAAACGGACTAATCTGCATCAGGATTATTTTTGACTTGCTGAGGAACTTCAGGCCTAGTTTAGAGACTGAAGTCCAGCCATTTCTGGATTTTGTCTGCAAAATTTACCAGAATTTTAGGGCAACTGCTAGTTACTTCTTTGAGAGTGGGGCCATGATGGCACCACCACCAGCCCTACCGTCCACCTCTGGCTCCATTGGATCATCATTGAGTGGTGATGATGTGAAGCCTACTGAAGTTTCTGATCAAGTGGGTCCATCGGGTAGCTATGCCGGGCCTACTGGACAGCTCAATCCAAGTACAAGGTCATTTAAAGTTGTTACAGAGAGTCCGCTCGTTGTTATGTTTCTATTTCAATTGTATGGGCGTCTCGTTCAGACTAATATCCCACACCTATTGCCATTGATGGTGGCGGCAATCTCAGTCCCAGGTCCAGAGAAGGTCCCACCCCATCTAAAGGCTCATTTCATTGAGCTGAAGGGTGCACAAGTTAAGGTAGGATGTGTGTATGGTGCACAATAATTTTGGTTACTTGTGTGCGGAGTGTAAATATGAAGTCTGAACTCGAAGCTTGTTACACTGTATAAAGATATCAATTTGTAGTTAAAACATCAACTGATAATTATTACATATTTCCTCTATAACCACGGTATGCAAGCTATTAATGTAGGACAGCTTTTCCTTTTCCTATAAAATATTCCAATTATACTTTTTAATTTTGATTTTATCCACTCCAATTGTTCAAACGTTCCTTAGCATAGTTAATCACTTGTGCTCCTTTTCATTTTATACATGCAGACTGTTTCTTTCTTAACTTACCTGCTGAAGAGCTTTACTGATTACATAAAACAACATGAGGAAAGCATATGTAAAAGCATTGTGAATCTACTTGTCACGTGCTCTGACTCGGTTTCAATTCGGAAGGTTGGTTTTGATTTGTAATTTTGATTGTTTTTTGTTTGACGAGCGGAAATTGATTTGTGAAAGCTCATTCCAGGAACTATTGGTAGCTCTGAAGCATGTTCTTGGCACGGACTTCAAACGTGGTTTATTTCCATTGATTGATACACTTTTGGATGAGAGGTATTCATTTTGGCGTACTTGTTTGTAATTAATGCTTTTTCCACCTAGCTTTATTATCCATAGCAGGGTTGTGAAAGTTTTTTTTTTTCTTTTTTTCTTTTTATATTTGGTGCTATAGCATGGTCATTAAAAAGGAAGAAACATTTCTTATATTCTGGCAGTTTATGTAAATTCCAATATCCAAGTTTGTGCTTTATAAGATTGCTTTAGGAGATCACATTTTTCAGAGTATTTGTCCATTCAGGTTTTCATATTTATAGAACCTTGCTTGCCATGTCACATCATTGTTCTCTAACAATAATTATCATTGTCCTCGCGCATTACTGTCTCTTTATTGGGTTGCCATGTAGGTGTGAGTTTGTGGGAGCAAGGTTGTCATTATGTAAATTTGTGAACTTGGGTGCTTCTTTGATTGTTTATGTAGGCAAGTTTGAGGTAACAATATGGCTGATAAGTTCACTTGTGCACCACAACCTCTGTTATTTTCTTTCTACTAAAATTTTGTGGCATGTGTTCTATAGAATATAGATACCAGTGTTACCAAATGGCAAATGGCAGCTATGGCGGTGAAATAGGCCGCCTATAGCGGAATTTTGGCAAACCTCCATGTACCGCCATCCACCATTAATAACACTGATAGATACCCAAGCACATTGCTTGGGTGTTGTTGGAAAAGCTCAAAGGTTACATACAATTAGACCTTTGGTTTGTGGGTGAGGGGTGAAAATTGTCTTTTGTAATTCCTTTTACGTTCATAGCTGCAAAAATTCTTGTGATTTTGTGCATGAGAATAACTTTTCCTTGAGACTTAGGCAAACACATTCTAACTTGCATATTATTAGTCATTGAAAGCCATACCATGAAGGAATGATGAGGAAAGTCCCCTCCTCTCATTTCATACTTTGCTTTCTACCACATCGTTTCAAACGAAGTTTTACCATAACATTCCTCTACTTTCGAACGTTCAACATAGTAAAATAAGAAATTGAAAGATTTCGTTGGTCGAGACTCACTTTGCTCTCCTCCACTCATACTCAATAGGCGCGGGTTCAATTCCCGTCGTTCGCCCATGCCAATTTCATCAAGTGGTCATGCTAGAGACATAAACAGTCGTGGATAATTATGAGATCCAAGTTAAGAAAGAAGAATTCCTATAATGGAAATAAAAAAGTCGAGGAAAAATACTACGAATTTTCCTTGCTCTTCTTTAAAAAAGGATTGTAATAGACTTTACGTAAAGACATCTCAACAACGCATAGCGTAGTCCTTGACTATATGCGAAATAAAAAAAAAAATACACTGGTTGTGATTCAATACCCACCATGTTACCTGCAACTTCGCTCTACGCCACACATTCTTATGAGATTCCTCTCAATTTTTCGATGATTCCCCTGTACTTTCTTTTTGAGCAAACTGGCGCTTACTCGCAAATGCACTTGACTTTGACATCTGCGAATTTTGTGTGGAAAAATATAAGCAACTTGTACCGACCACTGGGGGGTGATTGGATATAAATAAAACGGATTTATTGGTTAAAGTGAATTAATCTTAAATAAAGTTGATTGAGTGGAGGATTGAGTGAGGTTTTAAATTTGTATTTAAATAATATTTAAAATGAAGCGACTAAAGGTGATGTGATTTAAAAGTAGGAGAGATGTTATTGTATTTGATAGATAGTTAAAAATATGTGAGTGCATGAATAGTGAATTAAAGTTGATGTGATGTGTGAGGATGATTGATTGATATTTTTTAATTATATTGATAATATTGAGCAGAGTTGGGTAGAATTAAATTTGAGTTGGATTTTGAGCTAAGTAGTGAAAGAATTATACTGCAGTCAAAATCGATTTTAACTTGTAGCCTGTGCAACTACCACAATGCTTTGTACTCTGAGCAACTGGAGAAAGGGCAACGAAGGATAACATGATCCAGATCTTTTGATTGATTTCTATGGAAGAGTTTGGGGATAAGACTGTGTGTGAGAAATATCTTTGAAGAATATCTATGGCGGCGTGTTCATGATGTGGCGTTGGCCTCACCTCACGCCTTGAGTCCTGGCCATGAGAAAATTGCCACACCTTGTCACTTTCCTTAATTAGTTATGCCAAAAAATAAATATAATGAGGTGTTACAATGAAGGGTGGTCTCAGTTTCCACCTTGTTCAAGATTTTATAGAATCCAATTGCTTTGAGAAATTTGCTGCTCTTGAGTTAGTTTGGTTTGATAAGTTTATTCCCTTTGAGGAATTAGGCTACTGATAATGTTGTATCAGAATTTAGTTAATCAGATGGATTGCATTGATATTGTCCTGCCAAATGTAGGAGTCTCGTGTTGATAATTTGGTAGCTCTGAAATTTCTATCCATGTTTTTCAATGACACTGTTGTTTTCTGTCTTTGTTGTGTAGTCTTATATAAAACTATTTGTCAATGTATCTGCAATATATGTGTTTCTCTAGTTTTATATTCTCTATTGCGTATATGTCCTTCATGAATTCATCTTTGGATGGTCAGGGTCCTTGTTGGCACTGGTCGTGCATGCTTTGAGACATTGAGGCCATTGGCCTACAGTCTTCTGGCAGAGATAGTCCACCATGTCAGAGGAGATCTTTCTTTGTCTCAGGTAAACAGAACATAACTTGTAGGACCCCTGAATTCTGCTTGCTACTTGGAATCACATCATTGCTTTTCCTTATACTTGTATTGCAGTTGTCACGAATTATTTACCTGTTCTCAAGCAATATGCATGACGCCTCATTGTCCTTGAGCATTCACACTACTTGTGCGCGTTTGATGTTGAATCTGGTATACACTTCATATGATTCTTTTCAGATCCTTAGCAAACTACTATTATTATTATTATTATTATTATTATTATTATTATTATTGAGTATCATGTATACTCCTCGTCTTGTATTGTGAGTCTCCTATGTTGATTTCTTATGTTTTGTTTTGGGCAAATGATTTGTTACCTGTAAGGTGGAGCCAATATTTGAGAAAGGAGTAGATCAGGTGTCAATGGATGAAGCAAGGATTTTGCTGGTATGTCTTTTTTTAGCGATCTTCAATTTTACAATGACCACCTTATGATTGTATACTATGTAAAATTATCTTCTTAATCTCAGGGTCGTATATTGGATGCTTTTGTTGGGAAGTTTAACACTTTCAAGCGCACTATTCCTCAGGTGCCATTTCTGTATGCCATTGGCTTTTCTTTGGCATAGTTATCTATCCATCAGCCCCAATTTCCACACTCTTGACACCGTTTGTCTCCATATAGAAAGAGTACTTTCAGTGGCCATGAACCAGCTGATTTTTTGGCTAGACTTTGTTAATTCGTTATAGAAGCAAATGCTACAGTTACTCAAAAACCTATTTAAATTTGTGTCAGCTTGCTTTCTATTAGACATCCACAATATGTAGGGAGAAGATTTTTTTTATTGCTTTTCACTTTTGGCATTTCATTATAGCCATCAACCCTTGAGATTAGAATAGTACAAATAAAAATTAGTTCACGTTGATCTTAGAATAGTCAAAAGATAGAGAAAGTGAAAATGTACCTTATTTGTAAGTCCCATTAATTTTTGATACTGAAAAGTAGAGTGATAAAGCCATCAAGGTAAACTGAAATACTTAAACATCACGTTATGAGACCGATAAATAATGGAGTCCTAACATGACTACATTTTTCTGGTAGTATTGTTTAGTTGGAGACACCTCACAATAAATTTTTTTGAGCTCGTTTATCCAGTTTCTGCTCGTATTCTCTTGTCAAACATATAAAGATGTGATTTCTTTTGTTTATGGGATCTGTGTTTGTTTATGAGATAGCTGTTGGAAGAGGGTGAGGAGGGGAAGAGTCGGTCTACATTGAGGTCAAAACTTGAAGTTCCAGTACAGGTGATAGCTTCTGTGTGTGTGTGTGCGTGTTTCTTTTTTCATTCATTTCTTTTTTTTTTTTCATTTATTTTGCTTTTGACAACCCTACGTTTAACTAATTGTTAATAAAAGTTTAGGAATTCTTAAATACCTGAGAAGAATTGTAGTTTCTAAAATATAGATTTTTGATGTTTTTTCTTTATTTGCTTTGAAATTGGTTAAAGTGGATAGATTTGTTTCTTTCTTTCTCTAAAACTTAATGTGGAGGCAATTTATTGTCTCCATTTTGTATTACGTTTATGGACGTATTTGCATTCTCTTTCTTTTCTACATTAGAATTTGACTACTAGTATATGTGCATATGAGTATTTTTTAATGCGTACTATCACATTTTTGGTTCGAGGATCTGGTTTTATTTTTTCTTGTGTTTTATGGTTGTACTGACCAGAATTTTAACAACCAGATTTTTACTTGGTATATGCGCTCGTTTGGTTCTGATGTTACCCACCCACCCACCCACACATATATTTGTATATATTACTATCAGGGGATAAAATTCTCTTCCTGCTTATAGCAAGTGAGCTACCATTTTTTGGATTTCTACCACATTCCAGAATATTCTGCAATTTTTTCAACTTGGAAAGTTCTGGAGGGTCAGTACATTTCAAATTTACAGATAGTCAGATGTCAATGATTACACTGTTGTATTAGCAGTGAGATTTACCACCAGCACAAAGTTATGTACTTATTTTAATGTTGTAACAGCAGCAGATTAAGATGCTGTTTTTAATAGATAATGCAAATTAGCTATACACCATCTAATTATCTAGATTATTTTATATAACTATCTCAATTAAATTAGGAGGCAGGCCAGGTATATTGAAAAGAAACAGTTAAATAGCAACAATCTTACTACGCACGATTGTTTCAATTCACTCTATAATCACTTAAACATTTGACATGCATTATTTTCATCTCCTGGGCAGTTTACTGTTTCTTTTTTCTTTTTTTATTTAATTGGGGATTGCTGACACAATTTTTTTTGCCTACTGTGTGTGCGTGTCTCGGAGTCTCTACCAAAAGGATTAGCTTTGGTCTTATCAGGGATAGATAGGATATTTTATTTCATATATCCTTCACTGAACTTTCTAATATATTTGATTTGTTTCGTGATTTCTTTTGAACTTCTGTTGCTATTTAATCACAAGCTTCAATTTAACAGGCAGTTCTTAACTTGCCAATATCTGTTGAGCATTCCAAGGAAGTCAATGATTGCAAGCATCTGATAAAGACATTAGTGTTGGGTAAGGGTTCCCCTTGTTCATTCTTTCGCTCTGCTGATAACCATAACTCTTATTTTGTAGGGTTTTCTGTTGCCATGGATGTTGAGATGATGATTATATTAATCAGAATTTTGTATACCCATTTTGAGAATTTTGGCATTATTTGCAGGAATGAAGACAATTATATGGAGCATAACACATGCACACATACCGCGGTCACAGGTTTGTTTGCTTATTGAATGATTATATTTGTGCAAGTTCTAGCCTTATTTATTACAAGTATTTAATATAGGTTTCACCTTCCACGCATGGGAACCCTCAGCAGGTGCTTGCATCGACATCAACAGGTTCTTCCATACCACAACCTTTTAAAGGGATGAGAGAAGATGAGGTACTGCTTTTTTCATCTCTTTGTACTCTTTCTGGATACATTTCCTTTTCATTCACTGCTGTCAGGGTCTTACCTTTTTGTTTGATAGGTTTGCAGAGCCTCGGGTGTTTTAAAGAGTGGTGTACATTGCTTAGCATTGTTTAAGGAGAAAGATGAAGAGAGAGAAATGATCCATCTATTTTCCAATATTTTGGCCATCATGGAGCCAAGGGACTTAATGGACATGTTCTCGTTGTGCATGCCAGAGCTATTTGAGTGCATGATTTTGAACAGCCAGCTCGTTCACATCTTTTCTGCTCTTCTGCATGCGCCCAAAGTTTTTCGTCCTTTTGCCGATGTGCTGGTTAATTTTCTTGTGAGCAGCAAACTTGACGTTCTTAAGCATCCTGATTCTCCAGCTGCAAAACTTGTTTTGCATCTCTTCCGCTTTCTATTCAGTGCAGTTGCAAAGGCTCCATCAGATTGTGAGCGCATACTTCAACCACATGTTCCTGTAATCATGGAAACATGCATGAAAACTGCGACAGAGGTTGAGAGACCAATTGCTTATTTGCAACTTCTTCGGACAATGTTCCGTGCACTTGCAGGAGGTAAATTTGAGCTTTTGCTTCGTGACCTGATTCCTACGCTGCAACCATGTTTAAATATGTTGTTGGCTATGCTTGAGGGGCCTACTGTTGAAGATATGCGAGAGCTTTTGTTGGAGCTCTGTTTAACTTTGCCTGCACGGTTAAGCTCTCTGTTGCCTCATCTTCCTCGTCTAATGAAGCCTCTTGTTATGTGCCTCAAGGGAACTGATGACCTCATTAATCTTGGTTTAAGAACACTTGAATTTTGGATTGATAGCTTGAACCCTGACTTTCTGGAACCAAGTATGGCAAACGTGATGTCTGAGGTGATTTTGGCATTATGGTCTCATTTAAGACCTGCACCTTATCCTTGGGGCGGAAAGTCATTGCAACTTCTTGGGAAATTAGGTGGTCGTAATAGGCGTTTCCTTAAGGATCCTCTAGCTCTTGAATGCAAGGAAAATCCGGAGCATGGCCTTAGATTGATTCTTACCTTTGAGCCATCTACCCCGTTTTTGGTTCCATTAGATCGCTGTATTAATCTTGCTGTAGCTGCTGTCATACAGAAGAATAGTTGCGTGGATATCTTCTATCGGAAGCAAGCTCTTAAATTTCTTCGTGTATGCTTGTCATCTCAGCTAAACTTGCCTGGGCTTGTTAATGATGAAGGATCAACATATAGGCATCTGTCAACTTGTCTAGGTTCTTCAGTTGATCCATCCTGGAGAAGGTCTGATACGTCTGATCTAAAGGTAGGATACATATGTGAATGTGTGTGTATATATATATTTTGCTTTGGCCATAAGTTCTAATTGTTGTGACTATCTTTCTTCGGTTATCTCTCTCTCTCTCTCTCTCTCTCTCTCACACACACACACACACATGCACTCACATTCCCTCACTTGGTCTCATTTCAAAGTGGATAAAAGTGTTATGGTTACTATTTTCCTGCGCCATGTGATATACTCTGTTTTATGTTTTTTCTTTTTAATATTATTCTGTAAAAGAAACTGTTAATTCCACTTGCACTATCATGTTTATTTCTTGTGAAGCTTAATAATTTTTGTAAANTCCTTTTCTTTTGTTTTTCTGATCATTTCCCAATTATTAGTAACTTCTTGAGATGACGAGGAGCAATAGTCTGGGACTTGATTGGGATAATATTTTCATGTAGTTAAACTATTATAATCTGTTTTTGTAGGCTGACTTAGGTGTCAAGACAAAGACTCAACTTATGGCTGAGAAATCCGTGTTTAAGATTCTGTTGATGACAATAATTGCTGCAAGTGCAGAATCTGAGTTAAATGAACCCAAAGATGAATATGTGGGCCATGTATGTCGCCACTTCGCTATTATTTTTCATGTTGAGAGTCCAGCTGTGCAGGGCTCTATTTCCTCCGCATCAGTAGGTGGCCCCATGCATTCGTCAAACATTACTGTGACTTCAAGGTTGAGGCTTAATACTTCTTTGAAAGAGTTGGATCCATTGATCTTTTTGGACGCGTTGGTAGAAGTACTGGCAGATGAAAATAGACTGCACGCCAAAGCTTCGTTGAGTGCATTGAATATGTTTGCTGAGACACTTTTGTTCCTTGCTAACTCCAAGTACTCTGATGTTATGATATCAAGAGGAGGTCCTAGCACTCCTATGATTGTGTCAAGCCCCTCAATGAGCCCTGTATATTCACCTCCTCCAAGTGTTCGGGTTCCTTGTTTTGAACAACTTTTGCCCCGACTTCTACATTGCTGTTATGGATGTACCTGGCAAGCACAGATGGGAGGTGTTATGGGGCTTGGTGCATTGGTTGGAAAGGTCACTGTTGAAGTTTTATGTCTCTTTCAAGTACGCATAGTTCGGGGTCTGGTCTATGTTCTTAAAAGACTCCCTGCATATGCAACTAAAGAACAGGAAGAGACAAGTCAAGTGCTTACTCAAGTTCTACGAGTGGTGAATAACGTTGATGAAGCAAACAGCGAAGCTCGTCGGCAGAGTTTTCAAGGCGTTGTTGAATTTTTGGCTTCAGAATTATTTAATCCTAACTCTTCTATAAATGTGAGAAAGGTTGTGCAGTCTTCTTTAGCACTTTTGGCAAGTAGGACTGGGAGTGAGGTTTCTGAATTACTTGAACCTTTGCACCTGCCTTTGCTGCAGCCTCTTATCATACGGCCACTGCGTTCTAAGACTGTGGATCAACAGGTAAATTTTCTATTCTCGATCTCGATGAAGATGAGTTTACGTGTGTAATTGCTAAGTTATTGCAATTTTGCAGGTTGGCACTGTTACTTCTCTGAATTTCTGCCTCGCTCTCAGGCCTCCGCTTCTTAAGTTAACACCAGAACTCATTAATTTTTTGCAAGAAGCTTTGCAAATAGCTGAGGCCGATGAATCAGTGTGGGTTGTGAAATTTATGAATCCAAAAGCGGCCGCATCTCTGAACAAACTCAGAACTGCTTGCATTGAACTCTTGTGCACTGCCATGGCATGGGCAGACTTTAAAACTCAAAATCACTCCGACTTGCGAGCAAAAATAATTTCCATGTTCTTCAAGTCTTTGACAAGCAGAAGTCTTGAAATTGTAGCTGTTGCCAAGGAAGGGCTACGCCAGGTTCATTGAAATCTCTTTTTTTCTTTTTGGTTTTTGGTTATGATATGCTTCTCGGTATTCCTTTTTCTATATTATATGGCTGAGTTCTTGGAGATTGTAGAGGCATGTTTGGGATAGAATTGGCTGAAATTCAATTTTTCGAAGTTATAGTTTTAATGATATCTGGTTGTAAAGTAGCTAAAAAATGAGCACACAACTAGAATTATTAGTGACTTGGATAGTCAATATCCAAGTTTTGTTCAGCCCCATGGCAACGGTCCTTATCGTTTTGCAGTCACATGAAAGTTTCTTCCGTTAAATTAACTATTAAGCTGTTAATTTATCCTATTCAGCGTTCCAACTCCACTTTTTGTTGTTATAAATGTATTGCTGCTCCATTTTGCTATGTATATGTGCTTCTTCACTTTTTTATGTGCTGCCTTTTTCCTTCATTTGATATTTCTATTAAGGCTTTAGTCTCTGTTTTACGTTGGGTCAATGTGAAAGCCTTGAAAGATGGCCAAGAATCCATTGACTTTGACAGTGATTGAAAAGGTGATGTCATGATGTGAGGTTGCAAATGGTGCCGCCAAGGCTCTCGCCTCACATGAGGCGTGGGTTGGCGAGGCAAGCACCACAAAGAACCGAGGCATGGGCAGGAATTTAGACAAAAAATTAGGGTTTCCAACTTACGGGCTTCCTATATCAATTCTAAATTACACAATTTTTTATTTTTTATTTTTTAGTGCTCCTCGCCGATGTATAAGGGCATATACTCCATTTTCTTTTTCTGCTGGGAGGTGAAGGTGTGGAGGTGGGTATACTTGCATTGGAGCTTGGTTTTTTCTTGGACCGTGTTTGTTTGTTTAGGGAATTAATGCCTATAAACACCATATAAAGTGTAATTCTAAAAGCATACTACAAAAGTGTAAACCAACTCGAACTTTCTGTTATTTAATTTAATTGTTTTTTTATTTTTATGTTTAGGAAGAAATTATTTAAATTTAACACTGTTCATGGTTCAAGCTTAATGTTAAATGTTTTTTTATGTTGATATGGATTTGTAATGTAGCCTTTTGTTACATGTTTTATTAGCTATCATGACACGTTTTAACGTATTTAATTGTGTCATAATTGGTGAATTGTATGGTATATCTTTATTTTTGCATAATGGCTCCCCCGCTTTCATAAGGCAGGCTCTTCGCTTCACGCCTCATCCCATGGCAAATAGGAGGCTTGTTTCCTTGGCTCACTGTGCGCCTTTTTAATCACTGACTTCAAGTCTCCCCTATTGGGGAAGCTGCACCATACCACAATTTTAACAGTTTTCTTCAAGATTTATGGTCCTTCCTGGTCATTGTCATGTTGCATTTAAACGAAGAGACAATCTGTTATTTGTTGTGAAACCAGTAACGATTCTTTGCTTTATTCAATATTGAACTTTAAGGTTTCTGATCCAACTCCAGATTGGCTAATGCAGTTGTTCAGTTTGACATTTGTTTTCTCTGGGTTGAATGTTTAATAATGTTAATGATTTTGTGCATGAACTTGTTGTCTTGAATTATGTTTTAGGTTTTATTCAATATCGAACTTAAGGTTTCTGATCCAACTCCAGATTGGCTAATGCAGTTGTTCAGTTTGACATTTGTTTTCTTTGGGTTGAATGTTTAATAGTGTTAATGATTTTGTGCATGAACTTGTTGTCTTGAATTATGTTTTAGGTTTTATTCAATATCGAACTTAAGGTTTCTGATCCAACTCCAGATTGGATAATGCCGTTGTTCAGTTGACATTTGTTTTCTCTGGGTTAAATGATTAGTGATGTTAATGATTTTGTGCATTAACTTGTTGTCTTGAATTATGTTTTAGGTTATTTTACAACAAAGGATGCCAAAAGAACTTCTACAGAACAGCTTGAGGCCTATATTAGTTAATTTGGCACACACCAAAAATCTCAGCATGCCTCTTTTGCAAGGTCTTGCTCGCCTGCTTGAACTTCTATCCAATTGGTTCAATGTTACCTTAGGTGGTAAGTTGTTGGAGCATCTCAAGAAATGGCTGGAGCCAGACAAACTTGCGCTGTGCCAGAAGTCTTGGAAGGCTGGTGAAGAACCCAAAATAGCTGCTGGTGTGTTATACTTGTTTCATGGCCATTGCTAGTTTCAAATACTAGTGCTTCCCCAACCTCCGTTTTTTACATTTTGTACTGTTCTCTATTGATTTGATTTTAAACTTTGCAGCTATTATCGAGCTCTTCCACCTGCTTCCTTCTGCGGCTGGGAAGTTTCTTGATGATCTTGTAACTTTAACTATTGATTTGGAAGCTGCTCTTCCACCTGGTCAATTTTATAGTGAGATCAACAGTCCATATCGCTTGCCGCTCACTAAGTTTCTAAATCGATATCCTACAGCTGCTGTTGATTATTTTCTTACTCGATTATGTCAACCTAAGTATTTCAGGAGGTGAGTTTATGATAGGTGGTGCAAGTCCCACAGAGGTTTCGTCTTACTTGGTGGTGTTTCTGTCTTAATTTTTTTAAATTCTTGTGATGCAGGTTTATGTATATAATACGATCAGATGCTGGTCAACCGTTGAGAGAGGAACTTGCAAAGTCCCCAGAAAAGATAATAGCTAGTGCATTTCCAGATTTTTTGCAAAAATCTGAGGTGTTTCAGGGAACTTCCACCGCACCACTGGCTTCTTTGATTGGTGATGAAAATCTTGTTACACCAAAATCTGAAGAATCAGCTCAATTAGTTACCACCTCTGGTGCAACATCAGATGCTTACTTTCAGGGTCTTGCTCTGGTTAAAACCCTCGTTAAGTTGATGCCATGCTGGTTGCAAAGCAACCGTGTTGTGTTTGATACGTTGGTGCTGTTGTGGAAGTCCCCAGCTCGAATATCCCGTTTACAAAATGAGCAGGAATTGAACTTAATGCAGGTAAGTTTTAATTGCCTTTTTATAAAATCTTCGTCGAGCTTTTTATCTTGGTGAAATTTTGTAACTTACCTCTGTTCGGTATCTGTATATTTGCTTCTCTTTGTGAATCTTCTGGCCGGCCGTTGGCTGTTTGTGTTCTTCTAATTTTTTAACAGTTGTATGCTTTTCAGTTTTCTAATGTTATTCTGTTGTTTTCCTTTTGTGTTTTCTGCTATATAAGTGAAATGATAGTTCAAAATGATCTCTCAGCCTACTGGCCAAAATTCTATGATATTGTTGGCTGTTCGTGGGTTTAATAAGGCATGTAGCTGTATTTGGTTAGTAGTGAGTATTTCTCTGAGGTGGAT